CTTGTTTTGAACGCATAAACATGCATTTACGCTAATCTAGTATGATTCAGGGTTACTTTTTTTTACCTGCCATGGCCAGATTATCTAAAGATGTGTGTATTGTGTGTACAATCTACAGAAAGAGAAATGTACATCAGGTCCGATCATCCGATTTTCACGTTTCGGTTTTTTGGACTCGGTTCATGAAAGTATTTTGGTTTGGCTCCTGGAATGTGCGAAAAAAATGACTCCCGGGACTGTCTACAGGGAACACTCGCACATTCGCGGTGTATCAGGACAGCGCGACTGGTCGGCATTAGCGCAGTCCCTGCAATTAGTAACAGTTGCACATCAATCCGGCCGAAAGCATGATTGTGTAACACAGGCTACTTCTTCATATACCGGCTCATACTACAAGACGCCTTTACAACTAGCAAATCATAAAATTACCCGATCTACTAGTATGTGCGGTTTACCAGCCCCAGACCAAATCCGACCACGAGGCAGAACACATTGATGGGTTGCTCAAAAATATTGTCCATGTTTACAAAGAGCTGCTCCACTAACACTATGGAGCGGCCCAACCCAAAAATATTGGCCATGTGTACAGAGAAGCGGCCAGCATGCTCGTTGCTAGGACGACCGGCCATAAATACACGCCGCCACTAGGTCGCCACAGCCGACCAGTTCGAAATCGATAGGATTACGTCATCGGTATTTACATTTCGTAATGCTGACCACTGACCATCCCACATTTCCGTCCCCATCAGCCTGACCGCGACTTACAACTACCGGTCACATAAACGGACGAAAACATTTCAACGACATGGGGATGTTTCGAAAATAAGCATTTACTCCAATATCAAAACAGCTACGGTAAAAATAAACATCTTCAAAAAAACTTGCCATCTCTTAACCACGGGCAAAAACATCTGGAACCACTTATCAAAACCACCCCGTATCTGCATGAAGTTCCACCCCCCCACTGCTATTCCAAACAACGCGTTTTTCTGGACCATTCCAATTCGTAATTGTAGAGGTGCGTCTGCAATATTACTTTGACTGCGAAAGCAGCAACGACAAAAATACACATTCGTGCATCAACACGGGCATGCCCGCAGACGGCGTATAAAATTGCGTGCCGATTACACAAAGAGAACTCAGTGTTTTGACTGTGAACATGAAAAATCAGCCGTTCACAACACTCCGTCTGGAGGTCCTGACCTCCTTCACGGAGTAATAATGTTGTATTTTGTAACCAGACCCAACAATTCAGCCGAATGCATCTCGGCTGCCAGTGGGTCCTGGGATTTATTTGTTCATCAACAATAAACCAGTCTATATACTACTACTAGTCGGTAACCTTAGCTTGCCGTGGGCGGGGTCAGGATGCCGTGCAGTAATGCAGAGAGCACGAGAAATCCTGCGCCTTTGCGGTCAAAATCTGATAGCTGGATTTTTTTTTAAATCTCGGACTCCAGCAACTACCAAGATCAATCCAGGCCGATCGATCAAACAGGGGGACGCAGAAAACGGGTTGTTGAGGCAAAATTTTACGTGAGTAGAATCGGAATCAAACCGGGAACTTGGCAGAGGAGGACACATGCATTACGTATTCATCGACAGAGAACGTCCGTAAGCATAGACCTGGAACTATGTATGATAGGTAGGCAAGAGCCACACAATGGGCATGCATATATTGTCTACAGTTTCTTCGCTTCCGCAGGTTTACGTGGTGGAAGTATTGTTTCGGTTGGCTGAGCTTTGGGGTTTGTGTCTGACCGACAGCAGGAATTAGACGTCGACATGGGGGAATTCAGGAGGACCAGAAATGCATATATCCCGGAGGTCTGACATCTCCGATTTCTTGTAACGTTATAGTTACCTTCGCCAAGAAGGTTATGTTTTTAGAGACGTTCGTGTGTGCGTGTGTCTGTGTGTTTGTCTGTGTGTCTGTAAACACGATAACTTGAGAAGGCGTAAATGGATTGACTTAGTATTTGGTAAGTGTGTATTGATGAGACCTCGAAATTAGATTTTGACCCTCCCCATAGCGGCTTCTTATGGTACTGCAGATGAACTTTCGGTTTTGATATCTCATGGCCTAGACATGCTAGGGGCACGAGATTTAAATGATAGGTACCTCTTGTGATGGGGACATGAGTTTGGGCTCTTTTTTAATAAAACTGTCTTTAGTTACATAATTTTTTAGTAGTGGAAAGCTGTTGGAGAGCAAATGGTGTGATTTGGGGACTCCAAGCAGCTTGTTATCTCCATGAAAAATGGAGGTATTGTTTTTGGCGCGTCTGTGTGTGTGTGTGTGTGTGTGTGTGTGTTTCCGCATATTTGTAGTCAGCATAACTTAAGAACGCCTTTATGGATTGTGATGATATTTGGTATGCTGGTAGGTCTTAGAAACCCTCGCTGGGATGCCCGAACACCGGCTCCCGACCCTTCCGCCTTGACGCGGTGCGAGGGCCCGAATGTACCAATTTCCCAGTCCTGGGGTAGGTGCAACACTCCTGCTCTGTAACCTCGAATGAGGGGGTGGAGATTGGATAGTCGCTAAAGGAAGGGTCCGGGTAAAACCTACAGCCCTATGAAGGACTGACTTCCCTACATCTTCGGATACGAAGAAGAGGCCAACAACAGGTCTTAGAAAGCCGAAGGTCAAGGTCAAATATGGGCCTCCTGGTGGCTGACCTTGGTACTGCAGCAGAACTTTTGTATTTTGAGGGAAAACAGATGTGCAACAAAACACACGGTTTGATTGATGAGGGTTCCCTCTGGAATAGTCTACATGTACTGAGTTGACAGCCTGACCTATTTCAGGACAAAAACCTGTGTTATTTTGTTCTGTACTGTAGTGTAGTGTACTGTGTAAAAACTCATATATTTCATGGAGGTTTGAGATCTCCGAATTCTTGTTTAAAACTGTAGTGGACGTTTTTGTTTCTAACTTTTTAAGGCATTAACTCCAGCTTGGGGTGACGAATTTTCATAGTTTTACGTTCTTAGATACCTTAGGTTAAATAAACATATAGAGATGAATGAAATTGCAATCTATGCCTAATAAAGAGAAATAAATTTTCTTACTTATTCAATTCAATTCAATTCAATTCTATTCATTTTCAATATGTTCAATTTTCTATTCTTCTGAGAGCAGGTTCAGTGAGACCTTGTGTGTGGGAGTGGTGTGGGAGTAGGTCAATAGTTACCTTCGCCAAGAAGGTTATGTTTTCAGAGGCGTTCGTGTGTGTGTGTGTGTGTGTGTGTGTGTGTCTGTCTGTCTGTCTGTGAACACGATAACTTGAGAAGGCTTAAATGGATTGACTTCATATTTGATAGGTAGGTAGGTCTTGATAGCATCTCAAAATGATTAGATTTTGGGCCCCTAGCGGCTTCTAATGGTACTGCAGCTGAACTTCCGGTTTTGATATCTCGTGATCTGGAAGTGCTAGGGTTACCAAATTTGGATGGTAGGTAGGTCTTTCACTGGGAAAGAAGTGACGTATGTTTGGGCCCCCTAGCGGCTTGCTCAGGAACTGCAGAGGCATTTCTTTGAAAATATTCAAAAGAGGATAACTCAAGAACCAGCTGCATTACATTATAGGACTATTCAAGCTTGTGACATGTAATTGAGAACGAGAGAAACACCGGCAGATTTTGATTATTTTAACCTACGTGTTCTTAATGATGATGATTTTTAAATGATGATGATGTTTTTAATCTACGTATTGTAATAATGTTTGTATATGTTAATAATTGTAAAATGTCAATGCAATTCAGACGTGCCTGAAGCATTTCGGCACGTCTGCCATGTTGATATTTAATAAAGATTTGATTAAACATAACTTATTCAAATAAGGACCTCATTTGCATAATTTATGAGGAAATGATTGAAAGGCTTTCTTTGTTAAGATACGATCATGGAGAATATGATCAACTGATATAATTCATGCAAATGAGGATCCTATTTGCATAATCAGGGGGAATCATCTTTGTCAGTCATAAAAATTAACATCATTTGGCGAAGATATGAGATCGTTGGACTCTAGTTCACCTCTACGCCATCTGGGGCAGGCCTAGGCAGACAGGCGGTTTGATAATCAATGATGTAAACATGCTAGGGTCACAGATTTTCGTGTCAATAAGCATTTGCATAAATAATAAGAAAATTCTATAATGCAATACTGACGGGAATTTCATACTTGCGGCATTTGGAAGTTAAGTAAAGGTGACCATCATTAAACATAACTTATTCAAATCAGAACCATATTTGCATAATTTATGAGGAAATACTAGAATAGCCCTCTTTGTTTAAGATAAGACAGTCATTGGTTGGAATATATGATCAAAGAATATAAATACAAATGAGGATCTTATTTTCATAATCAATGGGAAGCATTCATCAGTCGTCAGTCGTAAAGGTTAACCTGATTTGACGAAGGCATGAGATCGTGGAACTCTAGTTAAAATTGATCTGCGTTTGTTCTACTTCTTCCTACTTCTGAAAATGAAGTTGAATTTTAACGTGGGCCGGATAATACGTAGGTTTTATAGTGTTTCTGTGATTTTTATAATATATATATTGTATGTAGGGCGCAATTCGGGGTAACCAGGCCCGGAATCCCTTTCCTAATAAAACTTGATTTGTTTATGGTCCCCATTGTACAATATTAACATAGATGGACCACAAAGTGTCCGTCATTCTTTGCGGTAAACACACTGTGACATGATAATTTATCAGGTCGATTGAATGTCTGTATGTTTCTAATTACAGGCCGACATCTTGGATCGCCTCACCAATATAGCCGCTATTTACATTTAAAAATGGTTTGTTAGAAATTCTCCGAATGATTAAAAATGATCCCATATTGAACCAATTTACGCAAATGATGCGTACAGAAATGTAGTAAACGATTATAAGATGTTTAACATTGAAAACAAAAAGTTGACTTCCCACCATCAAGGGATAATATCGCAGATATCAGATATTTAAGAAAGGTTGAAACACGTACCATCAGGATCAACTTCATGCAGGAGTTCTCTGAGATCTTCCTCTGACGTGAACTGTCCCATGTCCCTCATAGCTGTCCACAGCTCATCAAGGCTGATCAAACCGTCGCCATCTTTGTCAAACAAGTTAAAGGCGTCTCGGTACTCTGGAAGAAAATTTAATGATAAGTAAAACTTAATTACCGTAGCATGTTCAAAACACGGTCAATATAAAAATACAATTTACTACCTTTGCCAAGAATGTAATAACCGAAGAATTTATAAATAGATTGTTTCGGAATTAGCGTATGGAAGAAACGATTGAAGTGACAATATAATATATACTAAGTGAGTCTCAGTCATCTGGAATCACTGTGGATTGCACAGAGGGGAGTTTAGCACACCAAGGTTGTTTCCTTCAGCACTACAGACAGAACAGAATGTTTAATTCAGAGGAGAACAAATTCAGATATGGTAGTGATGCAGTCAAGTAAACGCAACATTGCCCCTGGCCCAATATACAAACAGGTGAACACAAAAACGAGGTTGCTATGATAAACGTATGCAAAAAAAAATGGGTGAAAAGAGTTTTGAAGTTTGAAGAGGTTTTGAAAGAACACGTCCAGCCCCGAGCAGTGATGAAATATTCAGTAGTACACATTAAACATAGAAGATGAAGATTTTTGTAAGAAAAAATATTTGAGAATTTACAAAAGGTGAGAATGATGGACTTATGTTATCGTATAGATAGTAGGTACGACTCCTAGTGGTCAGTTGGTTCCCTGAAAACTCTACGACAAAAACGTAGAAAGACGTATGTAGCTTGATACAATGTAAGCTCCTTCTGCCTTTCCTGTGCGACGTGTTCATTCCTCAAACGTAGAACTTGAAATCCTTTTCTCCATAAAGTCAATCCACCAAAAGGTAAATCGTATCACAAAATGAAAGATCAAGCACACCGTTAGCGTCTTACGAAAGTGCAACGCCATAACGTGAGTATATTGAACGTCTCGCCTTTTCATTTCTAAATTTGTTACCTTTCCACATTTGGTTACATTTCCATTCGTCAGAATCGGACTTAAATCCGCACCTCACTGCCAGCGGAGTAAGATAGACGAGCTGGCCTTTCCATGGCTTCCCGGTGTGATGTATTATTATCCACTGTGGATTATTCGCTGTGGGAGTCACACAAAGGTCTGGTTTGGGTTCGATTCATCATATAGAGTCATTATAGATCTTTATCATATTGCCACATGGCGTCGACCAATCAGAAGTTCACATTTCATATTAGTTATGACGCCGTAAAGTCATAGAAAGTGTGACAACTGGTTATCAATACTCATAAGTGGTCATCTAATAGAATATTGACCACTATATCATTATGTACCAAGGGATATGACTCTTTGTGCTAACGTTTGTAGCACGTTTCTTTGATGGATAAAATGTTCACCGTCTTCATTACCGTCACCGTTTAATCTTATTTCTTGCTTTCTGATAGTCAATTTCAGTTCATTTCAAGCTGCTTCATTTGAATGACCTTTGACGCCTTTGACATCAGAATACCATAGCAATTTTCGATATCTAGAATTTTAAAAGCGTGAGCACACTCTAATCTTCATACTCAGCATTCCTTTGTGAAAATTATGTATTCGAAACAGAAGCACTGCAAGGCAATTTGATTTACAGGTGCTACACTTTACTTGATCTCTTACAGCTATTATTCTCTCCAACCGCCGATTCCCCGGGCCCACCACCATTATGCTTCCCTATTGACATCCACCTAGATCTAATGATCTATAGCTAGTCAGCTGTCTCATGAAGGAATGCATTCCAGAGGTTGAGTTTGCAGGTGAATTTTATAAGAGTAAGATATAGAGGAAAGAAAATACCGCCTCGTCCCAAGAATTTTGTTCCTCTTATTTCTACCTCTGGGGACGGAGGTAGTGTTTTCTACGTGATTGTTTCTGTTTGTATGTCTGCTTGTGTGTTTATGGGTATTTGCAGGAGGGACAGGACAGTAGAGGGGCAGGAAAGGAGATGACATATCGGTCCACCCACACAATCACTGCAAGTCACTGGTGGTTCATGCACTTCCCGTCTCTCAGCCAGTAAGGTTGTCCTACATCACCGTGCCTACATCCGTTGGAAGTGCCAACCATCTCATTGGATGTGGTAATAACGGTAAATAACCTCACAGAAACTATAGGTTTAGAATGTTCAATTTCGTGTTTAAAATATGATTCATTTTAATCGTGATGACATTGGACCGACTTGCGCACTTTTCCTGCAAGCCTGGTCGTATTGAAAATTTGAGAAAAAAAAACTAACCAGTACACGAAAGTGTTGTGGATTTGGTATCAAATAATGAAACATTTTGCGCATGTTACATGATAGGTCTTATCAGAACTACCGGCACAATGACGTAAAGAACCCCTCCCGGAGCGCGTTATCTCCCGAACAGCTGGCGAGATTTAATTTGCTGAGGGACTTCCCGGCACGTATCCTGGGAGGCAGGCTGGAGGTGGAGTGGAGATTAGATAGAAATGAAGAAAGGTGTCTCTGGGATGATAGTATTGCAATACTTGCATGTTAAACAAATCAAGACAAAAATTTAGCATGAAAGTTCATCTGTGTTGGTACAAGTCATTACCTCCGGGGAAGGAGATATCCTTCCGCGAGGAGGTTTTACTATTGTTCGAAACATTTCTGTCAGCAGCTGTTTCTCGCGATCGGCTGGACGGATTTGTCTGTGGTTCGGTATACGTATTGCTATTGGGCTGCAGATGATGCAGAACGTTTTTGTTTAATTGCATATGTGTTTATGGGCGTCGAAATAAAAGGTTTTTAAGTGCTCCGGACACCCCCGTTATGCTGAAAATGGAATTTACCATGTTGTTAAGGAATGGGGAGGTTGCAGTTTTGGGTCTTAGCATTCAAAAGGGGTCAAACAGAGGGGTGTCTGGTTCCGATAAAAATTTTGGGTGACGGCGCAGCAATGACGGCGCGGGATGACGGCGGGGGTAATGGTGCGGGTGACGGTGCAGGCTGTCAGACTGAGACACGTTAATCAACAGTCCATACCGAACCAACCGTCAGTAGCCATCAAACACATACAAACATATTACGCACATAACTTTCATACTACACACAAACAAATGACCTAAACCAATAGAAAAAAAAACCCGGAGGTTTGAAATCTACGATTTCCCTTGTTATGAAATAAAGACTAAGCTTTAACTTCCAACAATTTTCGGTTGACTCCATCAACCTTGTTCACGGAGTAGACGGGTCCATTCCGTGAACAAGGTTGATGGAGTCAACCGAAAATTTGGGTAAGTCCCAATTCCGTTATCTAAGTGTTGGAAGTTAAAGCTTAGTCTTTATTTCACAAGACAAAAATTGTTTGCTGAAAATATCTACAACGACACTTGCACGGTACAAGTCGTTATGATGTAATGTAACCGTTCACTAGTTTAAGTATGACTGTACTGGTGAACGGTTATTTAACTACCTGGTAATAAACATGACTGTACTGCAGTCTGCTGTTGTAGACATACGCCTTCGTGCAAAACTTCGTGCGCCTTCGTAGAAACTTTATTTTAAAAATCATGCCCGAAGGCTAATTGGTTTTACAATCAAGTATAATACACATTGCAATACAGTAACAGGAGACAGGTAACAACTGTTTGGAAAAAAAACTTCTACTTCTACTACTACGCTAGCTATTATGGGGTTCGACTTCTTCTTTGAAGGCAGTGGATAATGAATAGTCCCACATTCTGCCGGTTTTGTGATCTTAGTAGAAATACAGTTTTTTGGTGATCTTCTAAATGAGGAAAGGATGGAGAAATTGTTGTTACTGTCTGAAATAATCTGTTTCTTTCGGTCCCATAGTGAGGACACTGACTAACAAAATGTATTTCATTTTCCACTGCATTCATTGTACAATATTTACATAATCTCTCGTGCACAGGTAGTTTTCTATAGCGGTCTTTTTCTATCTCTAGTGGATGCGCACTTATTCATATATACAACTGCACTGAGCACTAAATTTGAGACGTCACTGCCGCACGCCGCTGGTAAAGGTCTCGGGGGTCGTTTCTAACGACGCGGTGATTTATCCCCACGTCTTTCCTGCATGTTTATCAGACCTGGTATCGCCAAACTCCATCTACGCCAGGCATTCCTGATCTCGGGATGTTTTACGTCGAACGACCGACTAGCGACAAGCCTTTCTATCATTATGCTATCTTTAGAAGAGATACATTCACTTTATATATTGTTTTCCCCTTAGTCAAAACATTCCTACAAATAAAAGCCAAACGAAGGCTGAATTAAAGCATTTTATTCATTCCTGAGCTATATTCCAGTAAGAAAGAAATAGACATCGGTAAGAAAATGACTTCTAATTAGACCTGATTATTTAGCACATTTATGTAGCTAGTATTTGAAAAAGATGGTATAAGACGAGTTAAGAGAAAAAGTGGTACTAATGCGTAGTTTGTACTTTTAGCCCAATAAATTTTTTCACTAATAAGAGATTTCATACAACCTCTTACTAGTGAAAAAATGAGTTACGGGGGTATTAACTCATTTTTTCACTAATAAGAGATTTCATACAACCTCTTACTAGTGAAAAAATGAGTTACGGGGGTATTAACTCATTTTTTCACTAGTAAAATGTTGCATGAATATCTCTTATTAGGGAAAACATTATTTGTCGACACATTAAAGGTGCTTAGCACGTGTATGGAATGAAATAATTATCTGAACTAAAAAAATGAGATAAATAGCTAGCTCTTTCTAATTTGTACTACACAACTCTCCCCGAATGCTTGCAACAAGAAATCGGAGATATCAAACTTCCGGTATTGAATCTTCGGCTTCCTAAACTCCCCCATGTTAACCTGTACTTACTCCTGGCTCTCTAGTAATTTGCCTGTCAATTTCCTACCTACTCACATGCTGTCCCCCTGCTCTGTCCGGAGAAACAGATACACATACACACACACACACAGTCAGCTCAGCCACCCAAAGCAATACTTCCATAACTGGAAGTAGCAACCTATTTTGCTCCAACAATTTAATATCTAACATATGTATATAGATACAACCATTCCTTTCCCCCTTAGCCACGACGGACATCGTGACATTGCATTATCCTCGT